CATCATTAAATTAAAAATTTTATTTATATAAATCATATATGTTAATTTTTATTAATTTATTGATCAAATAAATCATTTATTGATATATATATTTAATAATATTAAATTTTATATAATTAATAAAATAATTAAGTTTATTAAAACAATTTATATAAATAAAATTTTTAATTCAATAATTAATTTTTTAAAATAATAGTTGAAAAATAAATTTTTAAATATATACTTCCAAAGAACTTTTAAAAAAACAACCTACAAAACACATTTTTCTTATTTAATAACTAATTCTTTTTATTTTACTAAACCTGTGACATGATAAACATTTACTCAATTCATTCTACGTAAACTCAAAATAATACTCATAAGATTCTAAATATCATTAATTCATTTAATGACATATAAAAATTATTTTAAAAAATTATGAAAAAAATTATTTTATATCATCACCCGTATTATTAATAATAAGCCTTGGAAATTAAAATTATTAATTAATTTACCAATAAACTGAGGATTTTTTTCATAATATTTCTTACTGTAACACAATAAATAAATAAATAAATAAACACAAAAGAACAAACAGACAAACAAACAAATTATAACATCCACCACCACCATTAGATTTGGTCACAACTCACAAACAACTCCTGAATCCGGGAGGGCTTCACCTCTATTAGATTGCAGCATAAAATAGTTATAGCCATATCCTTTTTGGTCAAAATTTTCAGGATACATAAATGCCAGAGACAATTATGGGGACAAACTTTCAAGAATAATGTCAGTAACTAAACTATAAAATCTTTCATTATTCAAAACTTCTGTCCAGCATAATTTTACCCCTAAGAAGAGGACTGTAATTGCTTTTTGTAGTCTTGGAATGTTCCAGGGAAAGGGTTCACCTTACCCTGCGATACAGCCCACAGTTCTTCTACACTTCCAGATATCAGATGCTCGTCATGACTAACCTGCATGGTTACATATAAACATGTGTTCTTATGCCAAAATAAACAAGCTATAGGAACCTGATGAATCATTCACTTTAGATGATATAAATAATGTGATTATGAAAACAAGGGGCACAATACCATTAGAATCCCTCCTTGGAACAAAACAAGGCCTTGGATTAGTGCCTCCACAGCATCCAAATCCTATAATTTAACAGCATTGTCAAAAAGGGAAAGCCAGGACCAATGTGAAAGGAATAATTGAAATTCCCACATGAAAACCTGGAATTTCTAATGAGAACCAGAGATGTCTGAATACTACAAAATGTAGGAAAATCAAATGCATTTTGCTTTGCAATCTGCCTTGAAGCAACTACATGAGTGATTTATTATGCTATTATTTCCCCTTGCTTTTGTCCACACAAGTTAAAGACAGGAAATGTAGTTCATGAAGACAGGAACAAAAGAAGCATATTGATGACTTACAAGATGATTTGATGGCTCATCAAGCAATATTATATGAGGTTTCTTGAAAGTTATCTTTGCAAATGCCACTCTGCTCTTTTGACCACCTAACACAGCAATCACATAGACAACATTTTATTACATGCTTGTCATGGCTAGTCTTGAGCTGATCAAAGCCAATATGTAAAATTCATGTTAAACCCAGAGATAATGAAACCATTAAATTTCCAAGGAGAACCAACGAAACTCATAGAAAAGCTATGAGAGATACCAGACAAAGTGTACATTGGCTGAAGTGCAAGATTTCCTGTTACACCAAAGGAACCCAGGTGGGCTCGGAGCTTTTGTTCTGGCACTCCCTGCAAGATGTAAACCTCAAATAAGGGATTTCATCTCATAATGTACATCTGTGCCCAGGGTAAGCAAAATAATGTCTGGAACGCAAGATTAAGAATCCCAGTAACAGTTATCAATCTTTGCTTCATTTAAGCCAGAGAAACAAAAGAATGAATGAGAAGATGTCTTCTGCTAAATCCAAAAGGTATTACAAAACTTGAGGAAGCAAGTCCTTATTGTTCTCCTAACATTCTATAGTGGATAAGGAAGAAGGTTTTGGAGCTCAAATTTGGACATTCGAGTACCAATGAGAACTTTAGAAAGATGACTCAAAATTACAAAACAGAAGTACAGAGAGAGGAAGAAAAAAAAATGAAAGCATAAAATCTTACCGGGTAGCAGCGCATCATATACAAAAGAGGATTTGAAGACAAGTCTAGCCCATCAACATGATGCTGACTAAAAACAGCAATACGAACCTGTTTAAAGAAAGTAATATCAATCCTTTAGTCCAAAAATTAAAGCATATAAAATCATTCCCTGTTCTCTGTTTGGTTAGACAATATGGTATTTTAGTTATTGCAGATGTGACTGTTGCATGAAACGACAATCAGCAACTCTGATGGCAATACAGGGATACACAGGAGACAAAAAGGGATGGCATTGCTAAAACATTGAACCATAAGCAAAGAAGTAAGAGAAAATCTTAAAATACCTTAGCTGAACGGAAAACTGTCCCAGAGCTTGGTTGCAATTCCCCAGCAATTAGTTTGAGTATGGTTGATTTACCAATCCCATTTGGCCCAACCACTACATAACAACAATTAAAACCAGATATAATGCAACTGAGGAAGAAAAAATATTCCAGATAAGAGGAACATTACTCCAAGCACGACAAAGAAGACATAATGTCCCAACAAATAAAGTCTATTAAAACACAACACCCTTTGTGATGAATCTATATCCATATTTCCCATAAAAATATAGACAAAGATAACAAATCAAGAATAGATTTCTG